ACTGGTTTGTGCAGCCCCCAGTCACGTACCCTCTGCTTGCTCAATCGATCATGGCCCTCTCACGCGCACCCCCTTAGAGCTGTGAGCCCTTAAAAGGGACAGGAATTGCTCACTTGGGGAGCTCGGTTGTTGGAGATGTGAGTCTGCCGATGCCCCCAGCTAAGTAAAGCCCTTTCCTTCTACAATTCGATGTCTGAGGGGTTCTTGTCTGCGACTCGTCCTGCTACAGAAACACTATGCGGTGATTTAAAAAGAAGAACGAGGCCAGGCGTGGTGGTTCATGCCTGTAATCCCAGCACTTTGGGAGGCTGAGGCGGGTGGATCGCCTGAGCCCAGGAGGTCGAGGCTGCAGTGAGCCGTGAGGGCACCACTCTGCACTCCAGCCTGGGTGACAGAGCAAGACCCTGTTTCAAAAAAAAAAAAAAAAGAAGAAGAAGAAGAAGAGCAAATCATTGACACACAGAATAACATCGTGAGGGAAAGAAACCAGAGTACATTTCTAATGATTTCATTTTTGCAACAGGCACAACAGGTCAGCAGAGCTGTGCCTGGAGCGATGGGTGGGAAGGGAAGGCCATGAAAGTGAACCTCCTGCTGGGCGCGGTGGCTCACACCTGTAATCCCAGCACTTTGGGAGGCCGAGGCAGGCAGATCACAAGGTCAGGAGATCGAGACCATCCTGGGGAACACGGTGAAACCCCGTCTCTACTAAAGATACAAAAAAATTAGCCAGGCGTGGAGCAAATCATTGACACACAGTAATAACATCGTGAGGGAAAGAAAACCAGGAGTACAGTTTTTAGATGATTTCATTTCTGCAACATTCAACAGCGGGCAGACCGGGTCAGCAGAGCTGTGCCTGTAGTGATGGGTGGGAAGGGGAAGGCGTGAAAGTGAACCTTCTGTGGGGTGAGAGTTGGTCATGGTTGGGGTGATGGGCACACAAAGTACGATGTTGTAGCGGAACTCATGGAACTGCACACTCAAAATACGTGCAAGAAGCCCAGGGAGGCCTAAGGTCTGCAGTGAGCCCAGGATCTTCACCCACTTGCCCCCCAGTCTGGGCGACAGAATGAGACACTGTCTCAAAAAAAAAAAAAAATGCAGTGCAGGCGCAGTGGCTCAGGCCTGTAAATCCCAAGCGACGTTTAGGCATGGTGAAATGCCATTTCTACTAAAAAATACAAAAATTAGTTAGACATTGGTGGAACACCTGTATTCCAGGCTTACTCAGGAGGCTGGAGGGCAGGAGAATCGCTTGAACTTGGTTGAGGCAGAGGTGGCGAGTGAGCTGAGATTATGCTGCTGCACTCCAGCCTGGATAACAGAGTGAAACTCAGTCTCAAAAAAAAAAAAAAAAAAAAAAAAAATAAAAAAAAATAAAAATAAAAAAAAAAAAATAAAGAAAAAAAAAAAAAAAAAATGCATTTCACTGCATGTAAAATTTTACCTCAATACAAAATTAAAATGTAATCTTTGGGAAAATAAAAGGTGCATTAGAGAGGTGGTAGTCAAAATTTTTGTAGCCTTCAAGGAGAGTAAATTTGAAGGCATATCTGTCGATTTTGTGGAATTTTTACAAAGACTTAATTGAGGAAAACTCGAAAGCATTAGGAAGGGTCTTGTTCCTCTGTTCCCTCTGTGAGCCAGCTTCCGCTTGTCTAATCCGTGTACGTTTAGAGTGAGCTGATTGACAGGGAGGAAGACGGGTAAGAAAGGCAAAGGAGAACCAGGGCCACACTAAAATTCCCACGCTCTTCAAAATTTGTCTTACAACATTGACCAAAATTTTATACTGGAAGTTTTTAAGTGATGGAACGCTATAGCAGCCTTTTCTTCATGTTCTTATTTTTTTAATTTTATTTTATTTTATTTTATTTTATTTTTACAAAATGACCACCGTTGACATGAAACACCAATGCGGGGTGGAGGGTCTGCATCAGTGAGGAGAGCTCTGGAGCTCCAAGGACAATGGTCCACCCGCCAGCTCTCTAATATGCTTATTCACTTGCCTCTTCCCGACTTCCGGGTGGTATCTCCTATAATTCTCTCTGTTGTTGAGACAGAGCCCAATGCTTCTAACAAAAAGAAACGCCTATGGAGGAAGAGTGCCAATTTAGAAACCAAGGAATGATGAGCGTGTTGTATGTCTGTTAGTGTCCCTTGTCATAAGACGGTAAGAGATTTTTGCTGAAGGAGATTAAAATAACACGTTGGTCGCATGTGAAACAACAGGAAACAAGCAACAGAAGTATTCATGTGTGGTCAGTATAAACACCTGGGCAGGAATATAAAGAACGCCGGGGCTCAGGGAGGCTCCACACCTTGCACCTGCCAACCGCTTCTCACCCTGGCTCCTCTACCGTGCTCCACCGCTCAATCCACCAGAACCATGGGCTGCTGTGGCTGCGTCCGGAGGCTGTGGCTCCGGCTGTGGGGGGCCTTTGTTTTGTGGCTCCGGCTGTGGTCCTGTGGGGTTGGGCATCCGGCTGCGGGGCTTGGTGGTCCAGCTGGCTTTTTGTGCCCGGTCTGCTGCTGCAAGCCCGTGTGTTGCTGGTGTGCAGGCCTGTTCCGCTGCTCCAGCTGTGGCTCCTTGGAGGGGCTCCAAGGGGGGGCTGTGGCTCTTGTGGAGCTGCAAAGGCTTGGCTCCTGTGGGGGTCCAAGGGGGCTGTGGCTCTTGTGGGAGCTGCAGAAAGGGGGGCTTGTGGCTCTGTGGGGGCGTCCAAGGGGGGCTGTGGCTCCTGTGGGGTGCTCCAAAGGGGGGGCTGTACCTCCTGTGGGGCTCAAGGGGAGCTGTGGCTTCAGCTGT